GGCACTATTCCTAGCAAAGCTAATGGCTCCTCCATTGTACGAAACCAGGAGTCGAGCCGAACTTAATTAAGTTTATACTTTATTCGTTATATGCAAAATACTCAAAATACTCAAAAAGAAAACGCATTTTTACATAATTGTATTATGCTCTATTCAACAACGTATCGATTTATTTTGCATAGTAAGATAGCGATAGTGTACTCAGAAGGGTCATTCTGAACCATCAGGGGAACAGATATGTACGTACGTGCTACGACGTATGTACGTATGTATTGGTTTTTGTTGACAAAAACACGGATGTTAGGATACATGTTTCTGATTACATAATAAAAACTTCCAAAGCACGGCCGACAGGAATTGAGAACTCAAAATTGATTATATATGTGAATTGAAACTCTATTTGAATTAACCAATAACAATAACAATAAATACGATATATAAAGTACTTATCAGTCATCGAACAAAATTTAAATTGACATAAATTTAACGCATTTAAAACTTTTACGTATCTTCATCAATAGCTAATAAAAATGCCAAATTTAATTAACAGTAAAATTTCAATTACATTGATTATGAGGGCATTTATGATATTCATAACGACTGTGGGGTTAATAAATGCTTTACCAGCGCTTGTACCAGAGATTCATGTGGTTTCTCCAGGACCAGGACCCTGGGTTATTGGAAGTCAACAAACCATTAGTTGGTGGGCATCTGGGATTCTTGGAAATCGTTAGTATATTATTAAGTTATATATTTAATTTTTGCTAGAAAAACTTGATAATTTTTCATTATGATTAATAATTCGTATAGCTTATGTAACTGTCGCGGTTTACAAGGTTGGAAATGATACGCCTTTGATTGCAAATAACGTAAGCTAATTAGTATCATCCAGATTTCTCTTAAATTATCCTATTTCACTAATTTTCTTTCTGTATAATATATATTATATATATACTGTATATATAAAGAAACCTTTGAATATCGGAACATCCCAATTCTCAATATCCGGTCCAGGCTGGTCACTGAAGTCAACCTATTACACACAAATTTGTCTCATTAGAATTTCTTCTCCATTATGTACAAATGGAACTACTTTTCGTATAACTAAACGTCGATCTTCAGTGTTT